TTGCTTTGTATAATTCGTTACGTCTATCTGACAAACTGGTATGAAACTCACATTCCAGAGCACGCCATTAGTTGGGGATGTCGGTCGACCCCGCACGACCCCCCACCCTCTTGAAAGTGGCTAGAAACGACCGCCCCTTCCCATCCTACCTACCCTTTCCTTTTCGCCAAAAATTTCCTTGTCGAGCGGGCGAAGGATATATTAGACATAGAAAATACAACCTCCCCCACCTTGTAAGGTCCGTAAACCGAGAGAAATCAGCCAAAAGAGTTTTTTCTCAGATCAAATGCGACCTCCTCCCAGCGACCGAGTACGCCCCCCCCCCTTGGGAGATCTCCAACGATGATTTGACCTCACACAGTCTGTCCCAGCAACGATGAAACAATTGTTCCAAGAAATGATATAATGTGTGGGACAGGCTTATTGTTGGTGGGTGACAGCAGATGATAACAGCTGATAAGACATGATAAGCAGCGCTAGTAGAAGATCAGATCTAGCACTTTTTCTCGGTTTTGTTTCGAAAGATTTCCATGTTAGTTACAAGTAAGTTGACCAAAACGCGACTTCGATTGTAATAGGAAAAATAGATTTCAAAATTTTTACGGGAAATAAAGCATACGTTTCATGTGAGGACTCGATACCGTACAACGATCCTGCCGTCAGAGAGTTGCCTTTGCTAAGCTGCATGGGTATCGGAACAGCGCTTGGCTTTGCACGAGCAGTTCATCAGGTGTTCAAGGTGAGGTGAATTCTTTCTTTATCCAGACTCGGATCTAGATTTGATAACTCGACTGGATGCTGTATGTGTCATGATTCCGTAGATGGGACAAAAAAGGTGCATGCATAGCATAAAGGGGAACTAGTTGCCAAGGATTTGATGGGTAGGGTTTTTTGCTAGGTGAGGTGCACTAGAGGTGACTTCAACAATGTCTTTCAGAACTAAGCCCTATCTTTAAACGGCCTCCTCATCCAACGATCTCTATCTGCCTAGGCTCTAACCCATGCGACATGGGGACAGATCGTGGAGTTAAACTTGTCTCATTTCCCTTGCGTCGATACCAAAATTCCGCAGCGAATAGCAACACGCAGAGAACCCAAAAGTGAGAGGGCATAGACAAGTAGCGTTCGACCACAGCTAGGACTTTGGCTAGAAATGCGGCAGCGTGGGCGGAGTAGGGAGACGGCACTCGGGTATGACTACCCTCCATCCCGTTCTCGTGCATTTTTTGAACAGAGAAAACGGTACGCCACTGTTTACGGTCTCGACCCATTCACCTCGCACATGGCATGGACCAGGATCCACGGAGGTCGGTGTATAGCTTGTCTTCAAAGACACGGTCCGCGATCAGGTATAGAAGTTGATAATATGGCGTCGTAAGGGTGTTGTGGTACGCCGCGTACAACCTTGTACCGTTTCGTGGCGAAAAAATTGTAAGGGAAATGAGTACTAGCCCTAAATAGGGTCGGTGACGCCTCCTTTTCTCCAGTGACTCCGCCTCCAGACTCCGCCTTCAAGGCCCGCCTTTCAGTGAAAAACGAAGCTGCAGGACGAAAAAGCATGAAAATCGTCACTTGTACGGTCGTAGAGTTCTTATCGGGGAATCAGCTGTGCGGATGGGGGCGTAGTGTTGGAGATGGAGTTAATTGGGCACAATCTGGGATCGGAATGGTTCTATTTAGGGCAGTCAAGAGGCTTTTTCTGTTTTTTCTTCATTGTCGAGTAACTCAGAACCCTGTCGTCTATATAAACCCCTAACCACTAATTGTGATGGCGAATGATCGCGGGCTTTGTCCTTCAGCTATCGCTCCGTTTACCTCCCATTTCCACTGTGGACTCGAAACCCAATTTTAGTACTCACCGCCTGTGCGGATAGTATAATTCTTTCAGAAAACAGAAACAAGTCTCTGCTTAAATTAAGAAAAACTGCCTTGATTTTCAGAGAAACATGATTCCTGATAGTATCAGAAACATTCTCAGTGAGCCTACAGCAACAGAAGAGGATATTGTTCTGGCCGAAGAGAAGTCCTTCGGTCATGGCTTCATTTATACACGACATCCCGTTAGGAAAGAGGTGCGAAGCTGACATTTAACCCTTTTACCTTCACTATTCTCAATCTTTTTGATCTATAAAATGGCTGTGATTATTGAACATCTCCTGTTCTAGGACTGGATCATCAGAATTATTGGAAATGGTCTTCAAATCGTGGAGATGGATATGAAAGATGAGGTAAGGTACCACATAGAGATTAATTCACCTCTCGAAACCACAATTAAAGCTTGGAGATCACGCTTTCGGCGCTGATTAGTGCCACCATCTCGTCGAGCACCCACTTACAGGCAGGGTAGATCGGCAGGGTACGTCGTGATCTGTGAAATGGCCCTTAACCATCCCTCTGAACGTAAAAGTCAAGTCTAAAGTCTTCGCCGTTGATCAATCCCTTTGTGGGATGCGGCACGCATTCTACTTCCATTCAGAATCGTAGTGGCTTATTGAATGCGATGTGGCCTATACAATGACTTGCGGTGGCCAGCCGATGTACAAGTCAGTGTTTTATCCTCCCAGACGAATCTGGTACCAATTTACCGTCCCGGAGGGTAGAAGGCTTGGTTGGCCTGGGCGGGAGTCGACCCGGGATTTGAACCCAGGAGCGCGAGTGGTGAGCGCGCCACTTGTCACTACACCACCTCCTGCCCCTTTTTAACGTAAGAAGGCTAAATTTTTTTAATCTCAATGCCGCTATGGATTGAGAGATAGCTCGTTGGAAATCGCAACTTGCAGGGCGTTGGTTACTGGGTACACCGTCGTGATGTTGAAATGGCGGTGTCAGTACGACTCCCACCCCAGAAAGGGATGGTACGACCCCCCCCCTCACTTTCCGACTCCGTTTCTTCCCTCTGACGAGGAGGATCAAATGCGTAACCACTCGCAAACGCTTGCAGCGCGGGCGGGACGCTTGTGTCCCAGCCAGGTGTCACATAGTCCTGATACATCCAATTGAGGTGCCAATCGTTGTGGTCCATGCAGGACTGCATGGCTGAGAAAAGAAAATGAAAATTATTGTAGTCAATATCTTAGCGTTCAGTTCCTAGAGCTCACACCCAAGTGAGTTCATCAGTAGGGATGTGCGTTACTTGAGGAGGGGGAAAGGGCGCGGGACTAACGAAGAGTTAGTTGTGGTAATGGAAATTACACACAGATTGAATTGTACAACTAAAGTTTTTATAATAAATTTTGTTCTATGGTCAAACGAACATTAGTATTTCGTCAACCTTGCAAATGGCGCGCATGAGAGGCACCCCCCCCCCCTTTCAGAATGGAGTATAGTGCGGCCCAGAAACTAATGGAAAGATGGAAAATAACACAAAAGTAAAGAGAAGATGGTAAAAACTCATGTCTAAACTCATGTATGGCTAAAAATGTGCTTATATGGAACCTCAAAGTCGTTGCCAGCTAAAACAGAGGTTGTGGCCTTGCGTTGACCAGTGCGTGCGGGCCTTGCGCTAAGCAGCTCGCACATTCCGTTGCGCCATTTTTCGCCCCATGCAGAATGAGGAGTATGACAATTCAAATGAAACGATTAGCGGGTTGGCTTTTTGAGTGGTTAAAGTGACAAACTAATCAGTCACGGTCGCCAAACACATTAATCTCTTAAAAAGAACCACTTGTTGCTACAGATAGCCGACGCATCGCCACTTCTACCAAAAACAGACAACAAACGTAATTGCTCTAACCAGTAGGCACTTGCAGTACAAGGCAACCACTCCAGGGGGGGGGGGGGGGCGATGCGAATATTTCCCAAAAGCCCAAAAGCATGGGAATCCGCCGCCTATTTATGTGGAGCAGGACTGATGGAGGGGCGACTGCCACAGATTCATCCGTCATTTGCCTATCTGCAATGCCCCTCTGCTTTACCATAATAGGAGAGGCACCAATAAGAAAGCAGTAATTGACTGTCTCTGCCTATGCCATCAACGTAGACTCTATCCACTCTAAACAATGTAATATATTGCCATGTTAACGTCTTTTAGTAATGTTCTACCATATCTCCCCACCAAAACATGTCTGCTTTTGAGTTCTTCGGTTAATCCTCTTCCCCCTCCCCTTCGTACTCGTGGTGAATTCTCCGGTATGTCCTAGCAGACCTTACAAATGAATAATTCAGGTCATCACAGTTATGCTCAGAAATGGATTACGAGCTGGAGACGACGGGCTGGACGAGTTCGAGGATATATCCAGAACAATATTCCAGTTACTACGTGATCACTAATCGACTATAGAACCACCGATGCAATTTATTCACAGCAGATGAAAGATCTTTTATTTTGAAACATGCAGATCAAAATGTACAACGAAAGTAAAGCAGTACAGAGTATGAAAAAGGAAATCGTAAACTACAAATGATAAAACCGAACCGGTTAGATTAAGCCCGTATAAACACATTTAAAAAACATACTGCTCTTGTTATTCGTCTATTTTCGCTCTTTTAGGGTTGTCTTCCAGGTCATGCGCGAAGAAATCGGTAATGTCTTTAGGTTTCACAGGAGCATGCGTTTCACATTTCAAGTGAGTCCTTTCCGCAGAACGGAAGGTGTCGTTCGACAAGTTCACCTGAACAAATGCACTCACAGATTCGCGACTGAGATATATATAAGGGCGAGACATAATTCCTGAGTCACTTCGGTTTTTTCAAAGCTTATTTTTATTAGACTATCTGAACATAGCTTTCCATTCGATTATATTGTTTATTTTGTATATGTTTTTGCTTCTGTTCATTTCCCCGAAACGTGTCAACGCACAAGAAGTTTTTACATCATAAAATCGCGCACTTCCGAGCAGAAACGATCAAGCACCGGTTTCGAGTTCTTTTTCATTGGTTGAGATTGCTTCTGAATGAACAGGTGTGGAAGTTTGTGAGCCAGATAGAAAAACTGTACTAGTGTTTGGCCAAGAGTTGAGAACTACTGGTAGACAAAATCAGATTTCCACCAGCTTCCTTGGCAATCTGGTCAAGCATTGCCATGAAGGAGAAGAACTCAGTTGTCTTTCATTCAGAACAAAACGCACGCTCTCTTGTGAGATGCATCCTTGGCATCTGCACGGCTAACAGGTCCCCAGCTGTCGAAGCGTTGCGGTTTCCCAGTCCGAATATGCGCGGGGATATGGATCCGTGGGATAGGCTAATTCCTCCACAGTCCGCCTAAAAAGCAATGCGCGGCGCAGACACGCTCCACGCCGCAACCATACCCCCATCGCATCTATAACTACCAGCCGTCCGCGCAACGCGTGTTGCGCGCGGCGCTCCTGGCACTTTGCCAAGGCTTGTAGTTTCCGGTTTCGAATACGATCAAAATGCAAACTTTTGAAGCGGATGACAACTGAGACATTGTTCATGCTGGTCAACTGTGTAATTAATGATGGCAAGGCTTGGAGGTTTACAGTACTATATGCTTCGTCCTGCACTCTCGCACAGGCGGCGGTCTTCTGGCCTTTGGCAAGGTTGTGGTTGACGCTCGTCAGTGAGATTAGATGCAATATTTGATGGGGATGCACGTAATAAGGCGTTGCTCATGCTGTACAAACTCCAAGTCATAGTGTGCAAGGGCGTACATTAGAATTGAGCGGCACTTACGTTAAACCGTAATGAATGCAAGTCGGTAGAAACAACCCATGTTAATACTTCGAATGCGACGCGTTCTGCTCCGGTTAGCCATGAAAGGCTCTGATTGATCGAGGAGGATGCTTGGACATTTTCAATCACGTGTTTGGGTGGCGACATGTGCGATGACGTGCAATTGTTCCGTAAACTCTACCCCTTGCCATCGCCTAACTCCACGTTTACAGCAAATGACAGTTGTCATCCGCTTCAGAAGTTTGCATTTTGATCGTATTCGAAACCGGAAACTACAAGCCTTGGCAAAGTGCCAGGAGCGCCGCGCGCAACACGCGTTGCGCGGACGGCTGGTCGTTATAGATGCGATGGGAGTATAGTAGCGGCGTGCAGCGTGTCTGCGCCACGCTTTGCTTTTTAGGCGGAGTGTGAGGGAACTAGCCTATCCTACGGTCCTGTATCCTCCTCAGCGACCAAAGACGACCCGCGTTGTGGTTTTCACAGCGATGATATGCCTGGTTGATGGTTCCCAATGTGATTGCCGTCCTACCATGTATTTTACAATACTTTCAGATACTTCCACAGAAATCTTTGACGATAAAGTGAGTGATTATGATTACTGATTATTATGCTCCAACCTGACACTTCATACAGTGAACAACACCAACCTGACCAAGCACATCAAGCTTTTGTTGAATAAGAGGCCAAATTACATCATCAGCGGTATTTTTTGCAACCAGATATTGAACAAACACACTGTCCTTTTGACCTACGCGATGAGCACGATCTTCTGCCTAGAAAACAATTATAGAGTACATACTTTGAGAGTTACCTAACCCAGTAAGTCGCGTTTCTGAGGATAACCTGGAATAGCTCACTTGCAACAGTGTTCCAGGATTCCAATGTAATTCAGCGAATATTACAACAGAAGCTGCGGTGAGTGTTATTCCTACACCAGCTGCAGTCATCGACAAGATAGCAACTTCCACATTAGGGTCTTCCTAAAAAATAATATAACTTTACCAGAAAGAAACCCGTGAAATTCATAAGTATACGCCCTGGGACTACCTGGAATTCCTGGCACAGTTTCCCTCGATCAGTTGACGACGTGCTTCCATCTATCCGAATTGACTTCAAATTTCGTTTCTGGACCTATACGTCTTCTTTTGAATTATGCTTCACCAAATCCATGATAAACTCGGAACTCACTTCTACTTGTACTGTATCCAAGACAATATGATGGTGCCCAAAAATAAGCACTTTCTTTTTCGGTGCATCTGGATAGAAATAATTATCGAGGATGTGGGAGCAGACGGCAGCAGCCTAAAATTCTACTTTATACGGAGGCCGCTAAAACTTTCAGCGATAAAGTTACTGTATTTGGGGGGGGGGTCATGACAGGCGCTAGTTACGAGAATCATCTGCGCCTTAACATCGAGACAGTGATCTGTTCCTTAAGGATTCTCCTAAGACAAGAACCTGGACGAAGAAAGGCGCAGAAGACTGCACCTGGGTTAGTCAAACCGTCGAGCGCCCACCTGTCCATTACAGTAATGAAAAGGATGAAGTCCTCGCAGTAATCAATACTTTCTGGGATTCGGAACACATTCTTGGCCTACACAATGACTTCCGGGGCAACCAATTGACAGTTCATTGCTCTCATCCTCCGAGATGAATATGGAACCAATTTACCATCCCCTTACCATCTACCGAAAGCCTGGTTGGCCTGGACGGGGTTCGGGATTTCACCCCAGACCGCGCGTGTGGTAAGCCACTGCTACTACACCACTGTCGCCTTGACATTACAGTTGCGCCGAAAACCTTCTTTACCTTTACTATGCCAGTGAGGCTGAAGTACTCCAGCAGACTTTCGTTTCCACTCGGATTCCCCTGAAAAGCCGATTGAAATTTTCCAAGAGTTTTACATAATATTCATTGCAACAAAAAAGTGAAACAGGCGAACCCCTGAAGGCACCGCTATTCATTTCGAACGCCCTCTTCGCCTTTTGAAGACTATCCATGCGCGAATCGATTTTGTCGCCAGATAAATAAACAACCTGCGACATCATGTATTGACAAAAATGTAGTAAAAGACGAGAACAAAACAATTGAAGCACCTCTCTGCGCTTATCTGGCAGGTCGGAAAGCACATCTTTTTTGAGGCGACGAATCATCACTCGTTTATAGAGGATCGCAGCTAGTTCTTCACTATTAGTACAGCCCTTCGCCTGAAGTACCCACTAAATTCCTACAGTGAGACAACTAACAAGGGAAGGATGGTAGGTCGAAGTGGCCATTTGAAATGAAATGTATACCGGCTGAAAGGTCTTCGGACGGGAATTACGAAACCGTCTTCCATATCTGCTGCGGACCTCCCAGAAAGAAGTTACGGAGCTTTTTTGGGGGAGAATCACTACAAATTGGCGGCGTAAGGCTATCGAGATCGTGGCAGCATGGCCGAGTGGATACGTCGTAGGGCTCACGGATGCGTGGTCGAGGGTTTGGATCCTTGATGCGTGTGCTCTTTTGCATTTTTTCGAAAGTGGTCCCTGTGCACTTCAAAGCTATTTTGCATAACACTTGTCCATGATAATGTCGTGATGTAATGATTCTGAACTGATGGAGCCATTGCGAACCATTCAATAGAAATCACTTCTGGCTGTTGTCTTCTTCTTTCTTTGATTTGAAGAAGCATATACAACAAAAGTGCACTCCAAAGAAAGATTTTGCCTTCAAATGAATTTATTCTCCAAACGACATGACCGGAAAACGAATCCGAAGTTGTGCAGGAAGATGATTATAGTGGGGAAAATGCTTCCATATGAAGTGGCGTTGATGTGGCAATCATGCTGGAGATCGCGATGGGCAAGAGCTTCATTCACCAGTGGCATAATGTTGAATTATGTCTATCTCAAAGAGTTTTCGTATCTGCTGGAAGTTTTCGGCTCGTATGACAATCTTTTCAGCCGGAGGTGATCTCCATGAAATCGTTCGCAATGGCTCCATCAGTTCAGAATCATTACATCACGACATTATCATGGACAAGTGTTATGCAAAATAGCTTTGAAGTGCACAGGGACCACTTTCGAAAAAATGCAAAAGAGCACACGCATCAAGGATCCTAAACCCTCGAACACGCATCCGTGAGCCCTACGACGTATCCAACTCGGCTATGCTGCCACGATCTCCGACAGGCCTTACGCCGCCAATTTGTAGTGATCTCCCCCAAAAAAGCTCCGTAACTTCTTTCTGGGAGGTCCGCAGCAGATATGGAAGACGGTTTCGTAATTCCCGTCCGAAGACCTTTCAGCCGGTATACATTTCATTTCAAATGGCCACTTCGACCTACCATCCTTCCTTTGTAAGACATTAGGGAGACACATACCTCAAAACAAAATCGTCCTTGCTTTCCATCACAATATCTAGTGGCGAAATTGTGGAAATTCGGGAAAAGACGGTCATTCACTAGCCTTACTTGAGAGTACAATTCAGCTGGGCGCGACAATGCGGGAGTACCCGAAAGGAGGATGACTCGTGTTGCTCGTTTCTGCAATTAGAAGAACCGACCTCTGACTTTTCTTCCACGAAGCTTAGTTGAAACAAACCGCTAACGAATGGGCCACCTGTGTCCGCTTGGCTTTGTTGTCCTTTAACAAATGAGATTCGTCCTAAAAGCCATTAGGAATCGGTAGGGCTACCTTTCCATGGAATATAACATTACATTTCAAAAAACCAAATACTCAAGATTTCAAATGTAAGGCACAACACTCACAAATATGATCACATAGTAATTAAGTTCCTCTAGTTCCTTCTTCTTGAGGACCATCAAATCGTAGCTCATAATTGCAATCTGAACTATGCTGATAGAAACGAAAAAACAACCCTTCAATCAATAACATTACAAAACATAACATTTTGAGAGGATTCGAATGATGTCATGAAATAGTACTGACATTACCGTATTTGATGTCCGTGCTGTTGGAAGCGGATCACTTCCTTTCTCTATGAGAAAGATTTTTTGAATTATAGGTAGGAACTTGTTGATTTTTGCTGGAAAGTTCAGTTGGATGGAAGCCAATGAAGTAGTTATAATTTCAGAAAGTTACGAACCATTTTCCATGCAGTTTTCACTGAAGAGGGGCAAATTATGAGCAGAGGCCATTCAGACCTAAACAAGATGAAATGTTTGTTGATACAGTACATCGATAAGTAAAGTTGAGGTCGGACAGACTCCCGTTCCCTACATATAGAAAGGTTCCTTCATGGGTAGCTTCGAGAACTAAGAGTGATTCCAGTGCAGCAGAGTAAGTATTTTTATCATTATTGTCTGTGCTGGCAGAGACCGCACAAAGTTCAGGTAAGGACTTGGCAAAATAACGGGTGTAGACGCTAGCTACTGGGTTGTCCGGGTCTGTGGCAATATTGCCGCAAGGTCTGCAACTAAACACAGAAATGTAGAACTTACTTGTAATATCGTGCCAATGTAAGAGCTTGAACAGATTTTCCTAGACCCATTTCATCTGCAAGCAAAATACGTCCGCCCCTTTCGATACCGAACCTAAAGAACTATTTTAAAGAGTAATACGGAACACTTGAACAAAACGCAGAAAGTGCACAGAGCTCACGTCACGCCTATTTTCTGAAAGGGAAACATTCTTTCTATTAAAGCCGGATCCATAATCAAGGACAGGTCGGATGGCACAGTGTGCTTTGAAAAAGAATCTTCTGTGAGCAGTTTGATCACATTGTCAGGGATCGTCTCCAACGTAACGTCGACAACCTGAAATAGTGACATACATTGTAACCAACTGCTGTGACGGAAATTTTCTAGTTTCAAAAACTGAGCGCCCATGCTCGGATTCCTCTCGTCTTGACACTTCCTTCAGAGATCCTTTCTGAGACTCTCAAGTATGGTCACAGTTCCTATCAGAAAGTTTCAAGAAGAAGAAGAGAAGAAGGAACGTGGAGTCAAACTGAGCTGGTACGCCTTTATATGCCTCAAAAAGGGAAGTCGGGAAGAGGTATAACAGGAGTAAAAGGCTCGTATATTAAACTTACCAAGGTTTGTCGCTCGAAAACAATGCAAGAACTGAACTTGAAGCGGTCATGATAAAAAAAATTGTGAGGAAGTAATGACTCTTGAGGGGAATATCTGTACATCAACCTTGCTCTTTGACAGACCTACTTGAAAAGTGTCTGTCTTCTTTGCATCATCTAATAATCTACGATCTGGCAGGTCCCCTTGGACAGTACGTTATAAGAAAAGCTCTTTGAGCCTTGTGAGGTTCTTGAAAACGGCGTTTCAGTGGAAAGGTCGGATAGCGAACAGTTCTTAACAAGCCCTCCGCATGAGGAAAGCATAATTCATTTCTTCCACTCTACATTCAGAGCCGTTACACACTTCGTAAAGAGACTTCAGCTCATGTGGCTACTCCTATGTGTTTCTCAATGGTCAATGTTTTATGTAAGAAATAGCGTCCGAGGAATCCCTCACCGTAAGAGTGTTGAGGACTTTCTGACAAGAATTCAATTCAGAAAGTGGTATACTCCATGTGCGATCCTTGTGGTCATATGTACTGAATTTAATCGATTTGATCGCTTCGTGAACCGCGACGTGATAGGGAGAGAACCGCACCTAAATCAGAGATTTCTGCTAATAAGAGAACTGATGCATTCAGGGCCTGCACGACTTTCTGAGGTGTTTTACCTTGATCCTGTCACTCGCGACCACACTAAAGGACACGCGGATATTGGACTTTGGCAACCTGGCAGGTGTTGGTGGCTTGAATTGCTGAACAGATGGAGTAGCAGTGGAAGAGACATGCTAAAAACAGTTAAAATCATTGAGTAAGAGCAAATACTAGGGTTTCACAAACCCGAACGGGAACAAACAAAGATACGAATCAATCCAGTGAAACATACTGTGGAAGTGCTTGGACGAGATGTTGGCTGCAGAACTGCTGTCGCTTTCTGAAATGTGCAACTCAGAGAAGAGGAACAGTGAAAAGAAACCACTAACATAAAATTACGAGGCAGTACGTTATGCATGTATTAGCGCATATATTAGGTTGTTGCATAAGTTCTTATACACGACTTTTTTGTAAATATCTCAAAAGAGGTATGCACCATCACCATTCACTACTCGACGCCAGCGCTCAGGCAGCTTGTCGATTCCATCCTTCCAGAACGACGGAGGCTGGGACTTGAAGAAGTCGTCGAGCGCCTTTCTGACCTGATCCTTTTGTTTCGAGAGGTCATACTCCCTCCTCGAGAGGTCATAAGCGGACAATTCATGTGGGACCCATCGACCAGATACTCCCTCCTCGAGAGGTCATAAGCGGACAGTTCATGTGGGACCCATCGACCAAGCTTTGCTACCTTGCCGAGCTTTTCTAGTCCACGTGCAACCGTCGAATGTGATAGCATAGCTAAGCATGTCGCCATTTCTCTGGTGGTGAGGTACGGGTCCTCCTCCACGGTGGAACGTAGTACTTCCAAATCCAACTCCATCGGCCGACCCGACCTCGGAGCATCTTCGAGAGAAAAGTCTCCTTTCTTGAATTTGGCGAACCAATTCTTGCATGTCATGTAAGAGATGACGTCCTCATCGTATGTATCCACCAGCTTGTTATGGGCTTCCTTTGCATTCCAGCCGAAGTCGTGCCAGGCAAAACCTAACAGCTGACACAAGGTACGTTTTGTCAGTGCCAAATTGTGCGACATTCCATACCGTTGCAAATGGCAAGCTCGCAGGCAGTATAGCTATGTAATTGAAGGAGTATAATGTAAAGTCACGCACACGTGATGACGTAATACCAACATCTATGCGAACGACATAGGAGAGGATCAAACACGTGTATAAGAACTTATGCAACACCTAATACACAAAGTGCACACGTCCCATAACCCACATTAGGGAATGAACTAATGATATTGAATGGAACGGTATATTCTAATTATGCCAGGAAATTTTGTTTTTTTTTACTATGAGTTCGCGAAATGTGTTTCGATCCCCATGTCGATACCAACTGAACAGTGCAATCTGCGCGTCTTGTTTCACAATGACTGCAAAAGGACCGCAATCTACGCAAGGATGTGTATCCTTAACAGTACTGTGTAATAACGGTTAATCCACTTTATTATAAGAGACAACGGTCAACAGCTCAAGAAAGAATTCGGTAATGAAGTATTTGGGCTCATAGTTGACCCCGAAATTTTGGATCAACCTCGTACTTGTGGTCCAGTTCACTTTGAAATGATTCGAGCGTGGAGCAACCATGGACAAATTTCTGCGGTTCTTAAAAGCGGCCCAAAATTTCCCACCGAAAGTTGTTGTTGTGGCAAAGTGCTTGACCTACAGTCGGAAAAAGAAACGTCTGACTCATCGCGGCTTATTATAAAAGCAAAATCTTAAGCCTTTCATTCGAATATCTTCAAACATCAAAATATGAAGGAAATCCAAAGAGGACTATTTTTCGTTGAACGGAAGTAAGCCAAACTCACATTAGCTGAAAGAGACGACGGCTGTGCAGCACCTAACACCTGCAAAAAAATATGCTTCAACCCAATAAACCTAGAAAAAAAAAAGAAAGAAGAAAAAGAGAAAGAAACCCAGGACTCAAAATAAAATACTGAATGATCCAATTAAGGTAACTACTTCTTCTTAGAGGATGTAGGAAAGAACTTTGAATGTAGATATTACAAGGTAAAAGAGTGAAAGTAGTAAATAAAGCTTACATGAGTAGTAGCTGCACGGGGTATTTGCTGTGGAGCGTTTGTAGCGGACTGAAATATTATTTTGAGGTTTAGAAAGTATACGTGATCCTTCCTCTGTTACGAAGAGCCTCAAGAGAAAGTGGAATCACCATTATTTTCGCAGGCAACCCTAACTGCCGGTCTAGCACAACCGCTCGGCCTGAGTTCAATGGCGGCTGACATGTGCCGTAACTGAAACAAGCATGTCATGCCGTCGCTTGTGACTCATGCATAAGGCCTTCTCAGACTAAGCGGATATAATACCCGTGTTTAGGGGGTCAATCACCCCTGGGGACAAGTTTTCAGCGAATTCCGGGTACTTCGCGATATTCGGGCCCCGCGCCGGTGGCCGGGCACCGGCGCGATCTCGGGACAAAGCAAGGGTGATCGTAGATACTCCTGCCTAGCGGAGGTCTAAACTTACACCTGGAAGCACACATTTTTATTTGTTCAAAGTCTGTCCGCGAAAAGTCGACTAAACAAAGATGGCCTCATATTGCGGTCAAGTAAAATAGCTTGAGACATGCTCGCTAATGACGATGATTCCACGTCATATTGGTCGAGAATAGACAATGTTTGACCAAAAACGTCCATAAATGTCTGCGATATATCAGTCTACATGAAAGCCGGATGGTCTAACTGGAAAAGGCTAATTGCGAAAATAAGAAAACGTCCGTGCCATCGCGCCGCGTGCGACGAAGCGGCAATTTACAATTCTCTCGTCCATCTCCCCGGAGTACGACCCCGTTGGGGATTCACCAGCGTGCAATGTGCTCTGAGTGCAGAGCACCAGAGTTGCCACGACATAGTATAGTCTCGCGAGGACAGGAGTCTCCACTAAGCCTACGCCTTGATGTGGGGAACAGACAAATGCCCTGCCGTGCCCTCCCCCCTTCGCAAATCCCTGTGTGAACATTAAGGTGTTCACACCAGGGATTTGCGTTTATGAAGTATTGTGTTTAAAAGCATCATTAACATATGTTGATTTGCTACTTTAACAGCAGTCTTCATCATTAAAACGGATGGCATGTGTTTAATGAAAGCCCTACCCGAGCAGCAGCAGCAGCGGCTGCGGCGGCAGCCTCTCGCTTTTTCCGTTCTTCAGCTCTCCGCAGCGCTTCGGCCTTGTTGACAGCAATCCTCCTTTTCTCCTCTTCCGTCAGCGGTCTACTCATTTCTGCAAATTCCACTAAAATGAAAGGCCGCACGGTGTAATATCATGAGATCCAAAAAAAACTCAAAGGAACTAAGTGAAGAGTAAGATAATTAGAAAAGCGTAAGGATCGTAGAAATAGACGCTGGTACACCTAAGGGCGTGAAACATTCTCCACATGAATGTGAAACACACGTCGAAACGATTTGCACTTCGCGCCGCTCAAAATCGCCGTCGCGTGCGACATCGCGAGACGATCTGGCACGTCGCTCCGGTCTTTTCTCTTGCACCTCCTATTCAAGGACGGCTTCCCATTTTCTTGAAGTTATTCATTCCAGCGTGAGGTACTGAACATGTCTGCAGGAGAGGGTACGACTACGGAAGGCGGTAGCGCTGAGGTGAGCCAATGTCCCATTCCATGACTACAAAGCCTCCCTCCATTTTTCCCTTGCAGGAAGTGGAACGAAATTCCTTCTTATCAAAACCTGTTCTTGTTTGGTTGCAAAGAGAAGGAAACTACGTGGAGAACATCCGTGATATCGTGCTACGAATAAAACACCCGTCAAAATTCGGTGAAAATGTGAACGGTAAGTTTCCATATTGTTATTGCTTTTGGGTGTTCATCCTCGTGTCACTTCTTCGGATTGGGGCGCGAGACTACATCGCCTCGGATCGTTGGGAGAGGGGAGGAATGACGGGCTTACAACCCTACCCACCTTGTTGGTGGTTCATAGTAGAGTGATTCTGCGACCCAGGAGATAAGAATTCTGCCGCGGTGCGGACGAGTTGTCCGGAGCAGGTGATGCAATCAGAGACACACTGAAGGTGGGACTACGGCCTAGGCGTCAACAATACCAGTTGCACCATACGACATGCACCTCCTCAAAAGGGGAAAGGCGAAAAGTCCCCCTCTTCTTGTTTTCTACACCTCTTTGGCCTTGAGCTCCGATAACGTATCTGGGGCGGGGGGGGGGAGGAGCCCACGCGGTACGCTGCTCTTCACCACTTGTCTCGCCGAGATAGTTTGAAACAGCCCTTTAAAGATTTCCAGCATATTTCAAGCGGGGAATTGATTACTCTCCAACAGAAAGGTGAACTACTTATACTCATTAGAAATTCTGTTGAAAGCATGGCTTTTGCTGCCAACCTTCTGTCTGTCTGTTCTGTTTGGGCGCCATTCAAGTAACAGTGGAGAGGGGATTTTCAGGTTCTGCGGAGCATCCAAGACATTCAAAAGTATCATTTTGCACGAAGAAAAGGGTTCATCACCCCCAGGTTTCTTCCCTCCTTGGCATAGGCGAAAAGTCTCATCCATTGGTTTGCAGTTGCTCCATCATATTCCTCAGCGTTGAGTGCCTAGTCTTATTGGAATACAATCTTGTGACAGTTTCATGTTCTACCTCTGAAATGACGAAGTTGCCTCGAAAGAACCCTCAATGAACCCAACCCTGCCCTGCAGAGCGCGTCAACCCGCGACCCGCGAAGTCTGAACGCTGCCTAGGGTAGTTGCAAAAGATTGTGTCGCTAAAAGATCGATCATTCTTGTGGTTTTAATTGGAAAATTGAATTGTAATTGAAACACAAAAGCAATCGAATTGAATTGAGAAACACTGACATACATTGAAAACTAAAAAGTAAGTTCCATTCTAGAGGAAGCGAAGTAAATCTCGCTTCCCGTACTTACACTCGAAATTCCTGAGGTGTGGTAGGTGTGGTACCTCAACTAACGTGGCAGTGGCTGTGCTTTTGGAGACTTATTTTCATTATGACACGATTGTGGTCGTGTCTCTGTCGAACATAGAACAAGGTGACAGTTGTCTCAAGCGGAAGTATTCCACGAGTAACCTTTTCTGTGCTACTTTCAAATGCCACGCCCACTCCGTCTCTGGAATAAGGAGTGTATGTAGCTGTTGTCCACTATAAGTGGTTATAATGTGGGGGAGGAAGTGGTGATTGTCGGTCAAATGTGCTTCTCATTTATGGCAACGCCATACATTTATGATTCCTGTACAGAAGGTTAAATACCGTTAACCATGATAGAAGGTTTATCCAACCTTGAAATGAAATGATCGCAATAATCATAGCTCTAAACTATTCTTTTAGTTTCTCGCAGTCATGTACGTGTTGATGTCGAAGGCCATATTATATCTGTTTCAAAGGCGGAATTACACTTACTAGACTACTTTCTGAGTTACGGTACCCTGAAACTAACACTGAATTTTGATTCTGGTGGCGCGACAAGTTAGTTAGTGTGTCCGTCATGACTATAGCAATACCACGCCTGATTTTATTTCCTCTACTCTCCTCATCATTACGGACTGTCGGGGCGGGTCAGTGCGGCTGCGTTTTCCGCGGTTCCAAAGTCTTTCTGCACCAGTTGTTGAAGCGAGCAAATGACATACAGCATTATATCCTTCGTATTACTCGTTTTCTACCACTTTTTGTCGCATACGCG